ATCTGTTGTAAATGTTTTTTTAAGTTACCGTTGTGTCCAGACAGCATATGTTGTAAATGTTTGGTTTTTGTTTAGCACCACTTGGATCTGACACTTCCTGCCCACCACCACCATGTTCTGATCAGGGCTCCGTTGGTGTTTTCGTCCTCCTTGCTGGTACCTCCTGTCTGGGCCCAGAGCTGCACTCGTGTGACTTTTTGTAAATAAATGTGAACTTCTCTGGACTCTCCTGTTTGTTGCCGTGTGTGGTTTGGTAGCAAACATGGAAATGGTCAGGCTCCAAAACACAAAGGCAAAACATCCGGATTTGTTCAGATGGTCTTAAAAAATATTCTCGTTTATTTAATTAGACCTGGGCCACTTTTTGCCGGCAGTTTGATCGTAGCCTCAAAGGATCTACCTGACCTTTGTCGTGCATGTCCATGTTCCTGAGCAGGTCGGACCGCACCGGCTGCAGGGCTTTAACACAGAGCCGCTGAACGTTGGATGGCGTGTCATCTCCAGCCAAGGTTGTCAGGTCCATGCACGTGACGGCCTTCAGCAGCCAGGCAGCCTGCAGGAGACAGAAGCAAACGCTGACAGAACGTTGGAGCAACATGTCTGAGGAAGGATCAAGATCTGAGGAGGAGAGCTCACCTGCCACTGATTCTTGGAGACCTTCAGGCCCTGAACATGTTGAGCTCTCTTTAGGACAGACTGTGTGTTCACTCTCACTTTGGAGATCCACTCCAGGTCTGGGTTTCAGTGCCAGGGGGGGGGGGGGGATCAAATCAAATGATATTTATTTATAAAGAGCTGTTGCTGCTGAAATATCAGAACACACCAAACAAAAAACACCTGAATATTTATATTTTGTTGTAACGACAAAACGTCTCGTCATTCAGACCTGTGAAGACTGAGACCCCCCCCCCCCCCCCCCCCCGTTCATGTCTTCTTCTGTCGTACTGGTTTTGTTACTAGTTTACACCCCCCCTCACACGTACAGTTGTCCTGGGAGAGCTGTGTGCCTGCTGTAAAATAGAATCCACCATAACGTGAACATTGAACCAAGAGACCAGTGTGAAGCAGCAGAGACTGGTTGTAGTTTTGTTACATACTGCCACTCTGCTCCCCCTCCCTCCCCCCGTGGAGGTCGGTTTGACGCCGGCTCAAATTCTTTTTTTTTTTGTTCTCTTTAATGGTGCGTGTCCGTTACAGCTTGATCAAATGTCTGTTGATGCTGAGGTGGGACACAGGGTCACTTTTGCATTCACAGCAGCCCTGTTTAGTGCTTTAATCCAACTCCAGCTCGTTTTCCTAGAAAGTCCGGTTCCTTTAGGGAGGTGTGAACGCACCATCGAACTCTGTCACGGAACAAAAAGGTGAACTCTGACTCGGGCTAAAACCTAGGTCTGGGTCCGGTAGAAGAGAACTCCAGTGGTTCCAGTACAGTGTGAATGTAAACAGACCGGACCCGCTCCACAGGACAAACAAACACACATTTCTCTTATATGGAGCCGTCAGCTGACTTGTGTGAAGAACAATATTCTCCATGGTCTTCTGTCTCATCTTCTGCTCATGCTGAGTCCATTGTTGAAAAATGACTAAATATAACTCCTAAAACTGATAAAACTTGATGCCACTTCGTTTTTATTTTTATTTACAGAAGAAGAAGAAGACGTGTCTTCAGAGGTTTTTGTGTCGTTTCTTTCAGTAGTTCTTGGTGCAGCGCCCCCACAGGCGAGGGGGGGAACAGGTTGGTTCAACAGGTCGGTTCAACTGGTCGGTTCAACTGGTCCGTTCAACAGGTCGGTTCAACAGGTCGGTTCAACAGGTCGGTTCAACTGGTCCGTTCAACAGGTCGGTTCAACAGGTCGGTTCAACTGGTCCGTTCAACAGGTCCGTTCAACTGGTCCGTTCAACTGGTCGGTTCAACTGGTCGGTTCAACTGGTCGGCTCAACAGGTCGGTTCAACAGGTCGGTTCAACTGGTCGCTTCAACTGGTCCGTTCAACAGGTCGGTTCAACAGGTCGGTTCAACAGGTCGGTTCAACTGGTCCGTTCAACTGGTCGGTTCAACTGGTCGGTTCAACTGGTCGGTTCAACTGGTCGGCTCAACAGGTCGGTTCAACTGGTCGCTTCAACAGGTCGGCTCAACAGGTCGGTTCAACAGGTCGGTTCAACAGGTCGGTTCAACTGGTCCGTTCAACTGGTCCGTTCAACAGGTCGGTTCAACTGGTCCGTTCAACAGGTCGGTTCAACAGGTCGGTTCAACTGGTCCGTTCAACTGGTCGGTTCAACTGGTCGGTTCAACTGGTCGGCTCAACAGGTCTGTTCAACAGGTCGCTTCAACAGGTCGGCTCAACAGGTCGGTTCAACAAGTCCGTTCAACTGGTCGGTTCAACAGGTCCGTTCAACAGGTCGGTTCAACTGGTCGGTTCAACAGGTCCGTTCAACAGGTCCGTTCAACAGGTTGACTCGACTGCACAGTGCAGTGTGAATGCAAACGCACCAGCTCAAATGTAACAAAAGCTCATGAATATTGGTCCAGAACTGAACCGAGTCTACCGGACTATCAGGTGTGAAAACGACCTTGGAAGAGGTAGACCTGTACCTTCTAGTGAATATGTACGTTCTGCTGACCAGTCCAAGATGAACCCTCCACCTGTCCTGCTGCTGGTTCTACTCCCACTGGGAAAGCAAGGTGTGAGATTAGTCTAGGGCTGGGCATCGTTCACTTTAATACCAGTATCGCTTACTTAAATACCAGCATAGTTTACTTAAATACCAGCCCCGCTTACTTAAATACCAGTATCGTTTACTTTAATACCAGTATCGTTTACTTTAATACCAGTTCCATCACTTTAATACCAGTTCCTTCACTTTAATACCAGTATCGTTTACTTTAATACCAGTTCCATCACTTTAATACCAGTTCCTTCACTTTAATACCAGTTCCTTCACTTT